AAAAGCATGACCAACGATCGGGAGGCTGGAAGCTGGGGACGAGAGAAAAACTCTCGGATATCACTCAATGGTACGAGAGTGTCGCGAATGGAAGCGAGGCATCGGACATGCTTGGAGTCGTTGCGATTTTAATCATGAATTTCTAATCGAGAAAAAGACTAGCAATTTGGACCATCTTTTGATGATTAGGTTTCGCGAAAGCAAATATCTTGCTATGAATAACTGGAGAGGCGAGACGAATCGCGATCGACGTAAGTGGGTCGTAGAGATGCGTCGCGTGCGAGATTAATTCATTCGGTGATTTTTTCGATAACATTTTAATTCTTTACGGTCGAGAGTCGGGCGCGAAGGCCGACCATGAAGGTCAACGCGTGTGTGGCGAACACACACCGACCAGCAGGAGGAAAGAGCGCGTGTATATTCGGCGCGATAAATTCCCTTTATCGGCGAGACGCGCGCGAGAGCTCGCCGGAAGGGGAATCCACCGCTCCAATTCGCCAGAGTTTTACGGATCATCGTAAGCGATTATACGGGCGCGCTGTTGTGTACTCGGTGACGGGATACCGTGCCGCACCGCCGGGGATGATTTAGTGACCCAACGATGTGAAGGATAATCGTATGAAATATCGCCACGTCGTAAGCAAGACCCGCGCGATCGCGCGGCATAGTACACACGGTAAATGCTTCGCGCGCGGCATCGTTGACCCCGGGGAATGCGAGGCCCCCTTGGTAAGTTTAATGCACGGGAATTTCATACAATATTAAGGAATATTTTTTTCTTACGGAGGGAAATACGGGAGAGCGCCGATGCCATTAGCTCCGTGAATCGCTTGCATTAATCAAGGCGCGCACCGGAGTTGCGGTCGATACGCGGACTTTCTGCCAAGAGTATGATGTCGGAAAGTACTGACGCGCGCAGAATGCCGAAAGATCGTTTGACTAATGTTTCGCTGGAGCTCCATCACAGTTGAAGAGGCTCGTTTCTATCGCGCGTAAAGACGCAGCGTGTTCAATAATGACCTGTAGCGGGCCGAATCGTTTTGAGACGATTAAATGCAATTTTATCCTTCTCGTGAACGCGCGTTTGACTGAAAATGCATTTAAATTCTAGTGCAATCTTGAATGGAAAAGTATTGGATGATTGCATAAGTTCGTGCCCGATTTTCATAGATGGCATTAAGTTACTGCTATTTATATTACACACTTGTATTTGCGACCATTGGAAGATTTAAAGTCACTTTAAGCGGTTGTAAAATGCATTACATACAGTGTATGGAAAAGAGTGATTTCCCATTCGATTTGGTGAATACTGGAAGTGATGTTAATGTATTGTAAGTAATATGATGTAGCGAGTTTAATCTTGATTTATGATTGAATTTGCAAACTATTGTTGACTGTCTTTACCATAGCTCCCTCTCTCTCTCTCGTGTTTGCCGAAAAGAAGAAAGACGTGGAGATGTCGAGGATCCATAGTTCTCTCTGCCGCTTGAGAGGAGGTTCCGCACATGGACCAACAAATTTCCCTCCTTCCACACCCTAGGTCGATCTTTTTTTCTTCACTTCGTTTTCGTCTCTCCCTCCCAGCGAGGTGCTCGGATACACAGTTCGAGCCGCCAGAAGAGCGCATCGCCGCTTCAAGGTGGCAACGGTGTTGGCGGGAAAGTTATTCGACCGCTTGCCACTAAATCATTCCTCGCGGACTCCTGCTTTATTATCCTCCATCCTGCCTCCACCCGTGGCTGGCTCTACAACTCTGGACTCTTTCTCTCTCTCTCTCTCTCGCCCTCTTCTGCGATGGCCGCGCGCCTCTTCCTTTCAGAGCCTTTCTGTTAGCACGTTGGATAGATGCGCTACTCGCGCTTGGAAAAATCACGATGGATATTATAACGCGGACGCGCGCGAAGCATACAGGGGATGTTGTTGCAAATTAGGTTTCTACGATGGTAATTCTCACACGCGCTCGGGACAGCGGCTTTAACTCGACTGCGAAGCGCTTTGAAGATATTAATAATGCCAGTTTATTAACGCACGGCGCATATTACGCAGGACGAGTCGTAATATTTTATAGTTCTCGCATGTTCCCTATCGCCATGCTTCCACTATCGGCGATATAAATGCCGATAAAGTACACGTGTAACGGCTAATATAACACATAACGTGTACACTTTAATATAATGCGTTCGCGCTATAATTTCGTTTCTTCCCATTATACCCGTTCATTTACGGCGCTATCAGATCGGAGGCGGTAATGACAAATGCCGAGTATACCTTGCCGATTTATCGACTTTCAGGAGTTCTATTCTAGTCTGCCTATGCGCGATCCGTTAGCGATCCGCCTACGTAGAAAGGAATATTTTCTCCACGCGAACCGCCCCGACCTCCTTAATTGTAGCTCAAGATTGCAATCTTGTTCTTTCGACGCGCCCTCTCTACGATTCTCACGATTCTCGTACACATTGTTTTCGAGTAGAATATTATTGCCTGGCAGATAGCAAATTTTATTTTTTCCCGCGCATTCTTTACCGAACCGTCATCAGGCTTGCAATTAATTATAAAAAACCTTCACGAAAAAAAAAAAATGTTGCAACTTTCTTTGTATTTTATTTTATTATAGCATATGTTTGAAGAGGTTTTATTTGATTACTTGATCCGCCTACGTAGAAAGGAATATTTTCTCCACGCGAACCGCCCCGACCTCCTTAATTGTAGCTCAAGATTGCAATCTTGTTCTTTCGACGCGCCCTCTCTACGATTCTCACGATTCTCGTACACATTGTTTTCGAGTAGAATATTATTGCCTGGCAGATAGCAAATTTTATTTTTTCCCGCGCATTCTTTACCGAACCGTCATCAGGCTTGCAATTAATTATAAAAAACCTTCACGAAAAAAAAAAATGTTGCAACTTTCCTTGTATTTTATTTTATTATAGCATATGTTTGAAGAGGTTTTATTTGATTACTTATTTTCAACTATGGCAACATGAGTAAGTAACCATTTAATTTACTACGAAACGCGAAACGCCTCTATCTCTACAGCCACCAGATAAACATGCAAGGATAATTTGCGTTAGCCATTGCTCTTTTTATATATATATACTATATGCATTTTTTCGCAAATATAATCTAGCCGGTGCGCCATCGTTATCGCGACAAATCGAGCGGGCGCGTCGTAACGAAGTAATCGATCATCGGCGTGCGATCGCGATCACATCCCCGTGATTTCACGTTCCCGTTCAACATGGGCGGAACGATACTCTTCCGAGTACTCGAATCACGGCTAGATGGCCGGCGCGATACCACAAACGCGAGAAGAAACTTTAAACTGTCATTAAAGCAACTCTGCCTGGGTTAAGGGGTTCATTACCGGTCGAAACTCGCGTCTCAGTTTCTTCTGCGTCGAGTCCCCGACGACTGTAGCACACGAGACGACTACCACTGTATCCTGCAAATTACGTCCTGTGCCGGTAAATTTACGAGTGTTACTTTTCTCTTTCTCCCTGCCCGTCGCCATAATCCGCGTACGGTCGATTGCGACGGCAATTACCGATCGACTGGATCGATCGTAATCTATCGATCGGGTAGGATTATCTCTCGATACTCTAGCTGTGCACGCAGCGCAAAAATTGGAAAAATCGCGCTCGCGTTGTGTCCCAGGCGGTCAGCGTGATACGCGCCGTACTTGAGACGCGTGATAAATCATCGAGCGAAACCTATATCACGTCGCCCGGAGGAAAACGCCGTTTAGGCCGCAATTCAGAGCGAGAAGTCTTATTGTTCGGGTATTCATGCTCAAGTGGAAGCCTATTTATTTCAATGTCGACGTATCTATCATAATTTCAAATGGAGAACGGTACCTTTATATCGGTGTTTTCCCGCATGAAATTTAGCATTTGATATATATATATGTGCGTAGAGCACACAAACTAATATAAAGAAAAAGTATAGATTTAAAATATTTCGAATTGAAAGCTTACAAGTTTAATGGAAATTTCCTTCAAGCATTCAAGATGTTGGAAATAAAAGACATTTCGGTGAGGCTGAGCACATATTCGCAGTATTCTCGGAGATAATAGTCTTCCAACGATAACGTTTCGACGGGGAAAAATGGGAAGGCATTTTCGTTAACGACCATACGAAATCTCGTAAGTTGTATTACATCGAGGGGTGGGTAGGTGGCGATGAATCGTCGCATAAATCACACATGCTGGAAGCACAGAGGCGTCCATCACCGCCCCCACGTTCATCCGTCCGTCGCGGTAACGTCTTCGGGTCCTCCTCTGGGAGGGCAAGAAAACGAAGGCTTCGCTCGCAAATTAGTCACTGGGCCTGGATTACGAATGGACCACCTCCCCGGCGATCCGCGGGTATCCCGTTTCAGGAACGCCGGGCGAAATTAAACAAAGTGCTTCGCCCGGGTGGATTCTGCCTTCGGGGAGGCGCGACGACATCGCGTCCTTCGTCATCCGCGTTGTCTTTCGTTTTGCTGCGGTAAAAATAAAAGGATCACAGAACGAACAAATGGGATCGATAAATTTCAATGGTAGGCTATTCATCGTGGTTCTGTGAAACAAGACAACTTCGAAGATTGCAAATAAACTTGACGATTTTCCATCCGCGGTTTCAGATTGTGGGTCATCGGATAATTATTCATTATAAAACACTCTAGAATTATATTATTTTGTTTCTGAAAACAACTTTAATTTTTCTCGCGTCATTCCTTTTATGCTTTTATGATTATTTTATAAAATATAATCACAAATATCAAAATTATTAGCATTCTCAATAATTATAACGCAAAGATATTTAATCGCCAGAATAAAAGACAGAAGGCTGAGTAAAGAACTACATATTCCTTTAAATAGAGAGGCGATTTTAATGAATTGAAGATATGCAGAAAATGGTTTTCGCGAGATTTGTATATATGCATGTTTCGATACATATTATATATATCGAGGATTTTGTTTTATTGCGGTATTGACCTTGATTTATCTTTGTTGCAGGTGCAAGCTACCGATCCTGATTGCGGCGTAAACGCGATGGTCAATTATACCCTGACCGGTGGTCGACTGGAGAGCGAGCAGCTCCTGGTGCGCAGTGATACGGGGGATATTTGCGTTCGGTCGCCTCTGGACAGAGAAACAGCACCTTATCTAGAGCTGCCTGTCATTGCCACCGATCGAGGTTTGTATTACTCTTGCCTTTCTATTGTACGACTATTAAATCATGCATCGAGCTTAGACAAAACTCATATAATATATATTTAATTTTAATGAAACAAACTAAAACAGAAAATTGATTTCTGTTATTATTTGGTATTAAATATCGCTATCATTGATCCTTTCGTCTTTGTTTTTCGTATCTAAACATTTAACATTCTTATCTATTGTAATTCGAGATATTCACATCGTTGCGGTGATTCGGTTTGATCGCGAGATCTCATGCAAGATCGCGATCTCTCGTTCCGACGACGTAGGAACAATGCCCGTAGGAAGTTTGCTGTTCGCGTGCGAGTGCCGTTGTACGCACTATGGCATCGATGAGGGGATGGGGGAGACGAGACGAGACAAGTATAGAAACAAGTAGAAACGGCAGCGCGCGACGGAGACACGCGCGCAGAAACGCGCGGCACGGAAACGGGAAGAGGAACATGCGAGAGGAAGGTAGAAACAGCGCGTCGCGGAGAGGAAAAGACGGTTGGCTATCGGCCCGTCGAGATCTAGTAGCTCTGTAATAGGGTGTATGATTTATGTCGCGATGGCGGGTTCCGTGGCCATTTCCAACGCGGTAGCGCGCGGTCGCTTTATGGGAGGAAAGGACAATGACTGCGGGTCCATTGATCCATCGTGGGACGCTACCATACAACCGGCGGCGGCCACTGCGTTTACTGATTTTTTGCACAATTTTTCGAGGGTATTCGAAAAAGAATATCTATATCGGTAGTAGATAAAAAAGTCGTCAGATCGGAGAGATGTAGAAAGAGGTGGATGGCTATTGTATTGGCGTTATGCCGTTTTGCAAACAAGCGCGCGAACGTAATTGTCGCTCGTTATCGATACGATTGTCCGCTATGCAACAGCGGCAGTGTCGGTGGATATTGTCAGGATGCACAATAGAATGCCGGCCGGATATGACGGGCACCGGAGGCATACAGGAGCGCGGACAGCGACGCACCGCGAATACCGGCGCGACGTGATTTATATGCCTGCTGACTAGCACGTCGTGACAGTCGTGTATCTCTGTAAAAAAAAATTTACGAGCAAGAAAGAGAACACTGCGCGCGAATTCCAATTTCGCAGACTTGCCGAGAATGGAAATGACAAAAAAGAGAGAGAGAGAGAGAAAAAGAAAAAGAGAAACGCTCTCACGATAATAGATAAATTTCATTTCTCTAACAAAATTACTATATACTTACATAGCGCGGCACGCCTGAGTATACTGTATCTCAATCAAAGTCTGGGAGGCGCGGAAATGATTACAAATATCTTCCGGCGATTCGCACGTTCTCGCGCGTCCTCCAAGACTTCCTCGTGGCGCCGCGCGCCCGAGACTCATTAATCCTCCTCCTCCTTGCTTCTTATTTTTACGCCGGCGATTAATTCTTCTTATTGCCTACCTGTAATTCGCGCGGAGAGAATCATTTTGGCGCGACGGCAGTAAAGCGAATCGCGAGCCACCGTGAACCACGCGGGCCAGGTGCGCATGATTTATATCACCTGCTGACGTTCGCTACGCGAACGACGACGGAGCTCTGCCTGCATCCCCTGCGCGATTTGATGCCACAACGTGCGTATTCGTCGTCGATATTTATCGGGGGGGGAAACGCTGACGATAACCCAACCATGCCGCTTACCATCGTGCTAACAGCGGTGGATAACGCCGCGGCGATAATTATTACTTACGAGTGAATCGAGGCAGGAATCTGCGAGAGATATCTACGGATTTCCTTGAGCGAGTCACATTTTTCGCTCGATCGCGAGTCGAACGTGATATTAGTAGACATGAGGCGCCGTCCCTTCGAGGGTTGATGGATAAACGCTCGGATAATTTGATGAATAATAAATTTAAAGTGTTTTCCTGTTGATTATTGTTGTTAGTTGCGACCGCTGAAGAGAATTATAACAATTGACGCGGATTAAAATTTTCACGAATTTCTTCGTAGATTTGAATATTTATTATGGATTTTAATCGTCACAATTAGTTATGTAAAAGAAACAAATAATCTCTTGTAAAAAGATATTTTTTTAACGCATTTGCAATGTGATAGGATTGCCGATATTATCCAAACTGAATTTTCTTTTAACGAGAGCATTCTTTAAAACGAAGGAATCTTGAATCGGCATCGATTACACGCGGGTACGATATCTTAATATAATTTCTACGCTAATCTCTTGGCGAAATTCTTCATGGAATTCCTGTCGAGTAAAGATATCCCACCAACGGGATAGATTTTATCTCGCATCTTCGATTTATCGTCACATGTTGACGGAAAGAAATTGAAGACGCTATCTTTTTTCTTGAAATTATATACCTACGCGATAACGCGTATCTGCCTCACAATATACATAGGCAGGTGTATACAAATGTAAACAAAGACGAACGGAAGGATGCACACCGACTTCTCTCGCGGTGCGCGCTTCGCAACTATACGCTAGGAAGGTGACTTTATTGGCATCAGCATCATAAATCTTCGCGGCTTAACTCCCACCGAACATGTCATTGTCCGCGCCGTTTTTGCGCTTATTTATTTCCTCTTCTCGACGCCGCGTGATACCGCGCATAATCTCGGATATGTCACTGAGCGAGCTTTCAGTCCGCACATTGTAACGAACTCCGAAATCAACTGTGCGTATTTGCGAGCGGTATATTAATGGAACAACTCGTTTCTCTCACCTGTAGTGAGGAAAAAACAAATTACGGATTTACGCAAAAATAAGTGTCTGCCGCTCGATTCGGTGCAAATGATTTAAGGAAATGTTGTTTTTCGATCTTGAATCTGTCATTGAAATTGGTTGACGTTAACGAAACCCTAATTAAAGCCGCATGCAAAATATCAATTACAAGTACGTTTCCGTAATAACACGCGTGTGTTGTGAAACTCATCCTTCGCTCATTCGTAATCTCGCTATAAGGTTGAGCACCGCCGAACCTACCGGCCGTATAAATCTCTCCGAACCCTCGTATCCCCCGCCGCACGATTCTCGAAAAGGACTCATCCCGGCGATCGACCGCGTGAAATTAAAAGGGCCGGGACTGGCACCGGCCACAAAATATCAAGCCGTGCATTAAAATGCCGTTGAACTATCCCCGGGAAGTCGGTGTATTCGTTCGTTCTTGGCACGTTCTTTGGTCTTCCGTATCGAACACACGTGGGTATTTAATCAATTCTTTTTTATCCTCCACAAAAGGATGCTATAAGCGCGATTTGATCTATCTATGAAAGCGCGTCATGTGCGCAATTAAAAATCATTAGGATCACAACAATCTTTTTCAATTCTATATGACTATGTCTGCGGTTTAGAGATCGGTGTTTCGATATCTCGAGGTTGTCCATGCGTCGTCATGGAGTCTTCGCTTTTCCACAGAAGAGAGGCCGGGAGGAGACCGTGGTAGCACGGGATACGAGAGACCGGACCCTTGACGCATGACTCCAATGACACTCGTACCTATAAATCTCCTCGCGCCCGAGAGAGCGCTCCGCACGGCCGAGTCCATACATTACTATGAGTTACGGTTGTAAACCGTTTAAACATCGGATTACCCGTTTTACATACACTGTCTTTGATATTAACACTTGCGTCATGCTTCGCCTAAATCTACGGCGACGACCAGGAGCTCGCAGTATTCTGTTACACGTCTGATTTCTTCTCGCCCGCCAATATTGCGCTCTCGTAGAAATATGTATAGAAAGATAATCTGTAGAGATAATATTACTAATCTCTGATTATAATTTGTAAGATACATGCGAGATACACATAGTCTAGCGCAATTTATAGCGAGTCTGACAAATTAGGAGCTCTCTAGGACTTAGCGTTTCGTATCTCGAGACAACTAAATTATTTGCCGGATTAGACGATCGCATATTCAACGCTGCATGTATATATAAAATGCGAAGAAAGGAGAGAGAGAGAGAGAGATTGAGGAGACAAATGAATTATGAGAATGTGGACGCATATAATAACTTTTTCTATAAAATAATAATCTTATTATTGGTTATACTTTCTAATTTTATTTACATAGTTCACCGATTAATCGATCTATCAACAAAGCAATTATCCGAGAAATCGTGATGTCTAAAACAGCGTGGCCGTTAAGACACTGCGAGAATGCGGCCATTTGGGGTCTCCATAAGCTTCTCGTGTTTGAAATATTACTACGAACGGCACATTACCCCCCTGCGCGGGAGTAAAAGAGCTCACGTCGACGCACACGTGCTCGCGCGTGTCCGAATAAAATGCCAGAGAAAGAGAGAGAGAGAGAGAGAGAGGATACCGGGCAAAAAAAAGAAAACTGAAGAAAGAACGCAGTGAGAAAAAGAGCGAGATGAAACGAAAACCTGTGAAAGGAGAGAGCGAGAGAGGCCAGCGGCTGATTGGATCCGAGAAGAGGCTGCGGTACGAGATGCTCCGTGATTTATGCCGACCGGCTTCGGGCGCGTCCCCGTAGATTCGTTCTCTACGTCGGCTAATACCTCGACATTATTTGGCTCGATAAGAGGATTTCGGCTGGGAATGAAATAAACATAATCGCTCTCGGCCGCGCACTTCTTTCTCGCTTCCATGTGAAATGCGCGGATAAATGTTTGGTATATAAGGGCTACCTCACGCATTTTTTGAAACTCGCATAAAACTCTGAATAATGACGCCTCGTCTCTCCCTAAATATTAATAAAACGCACAACATAATAATATTATACACTACATTATTGCTTTTACAGATACTTACATTCGGAATAACTTAAAATCATTACTCTGATATAACGAGGCAAATGATTCTTATGATTGTAATAGTATTAATTGCAGCTATGAACTAGTTCCATTCCGTTGAAACACTCACGATATTTTTTTCAACATTTCCGATATGTTTCTGGACATTCCCATTACTATGTTTATTTACAGACAATATTTATTCTCGTAAACTAAATTTCTCGGTAATTTTTTAAATGTTTAACACAAAGCTTAAAAGTATGGTCGCGCGGAGTTTACTTGACGGAATTGTCGCACGTTCGTATTATCGATGCGATCTATTGTATTAGCACATATATAATTGATAATCCGATAATCTTTTTGGCTTTTGCACAAATATACAGGCAATTTTTTGCGGTTAAATAGTGATAAATTAGAATTTTATTTTTTTCGTATAGTTTATTATACCTTATGTTCGGTTTTATTATTTGTATAACTATTAATTTTGTTACAAATTACAATCATTCATTATATATTTGCAGGTGGATTAAGTACGATAGCGATCGTGCGCATCCAGGTGACAGATGTGAATGACAACTGGCCGATTTTCGAGCCGCGTAAATATAACGTGACCTTGCGTAGTGACAGTGCCGTACATGGTCCGATCTTACGAGTAGCAGCGACCGATCTCGATGCTGGTCTTTTCGGCCAAATCTCCTATCGCATCGCTAGCGGCAACGAGGCCGGAATCTTTCGCATGGATCGTAATACTGGCGAGCTGCACGTGGCGAAACCAAGCCTGCTTTCGCGATTGCCCTTGCATCAGCTCAACGTGACGGCGACTGATGCTGCCGGCCTGAAGAGCCTCGTTGACGCCGAGGTCAAGGTCACTGTCTCTTCCGCCGGACACAGAATCGCCACCTGTGAGAAACCACGCTACACTATCACGGTCAAGGAGAGTATCCCGCAGAATAGCATCGTCGGCGGCGTAAAGGACACCACGACAGCGTCATCCTCTTCGACAGGTAAGTCAATTCGCTTTTATGCAGAGTTCTTTTATTGCTCGCCCGTTGCGTCTCGCAACACATTATCGCTCGATGTAACCACGGACGCGTGTCGAGAATACTATTATGACTGTCACTCGATGAATAACAAAAATTTTCCTCATCAATATACCGCATAAATTTTATAAATTTATGAGCGATTATATCAAAGAGTTGCTTTCTGATAAATAATTTCCGCGCGTCACTCTTACATTAAACATACATTGATAATTTCTTCGTTGCTTCTTGACGATTAAATTTAGAGTTTGTACTTAAAATACCATGAAACTTATTTTTGCGCGACGTCATGATACATGACAGCGAACACGTTTGCGATATGCTTGCATAAAAGCACTTGCATACCGGAGTTAATCTGGTCGATTCTAGAACGGAGGTACGATCCTCGATCCAACGAATGCCTTGAAAACGTATTCCACGCGCGGCGCTACCGCGTTAGCATAGTCGCGTCACGAGTAAAACGCCGAAGACGACGCCTCGATATACTTTCTTGAGCACGCGCGAAGTCCCACGTATTTGTACGTATTTAAAGATATTCATGTCTCATGTAGCGCCGAACATGCAGCACACAATATAGGTATCGGGAAGAAAATTCTATAAATTTCCATCAAGCGCGTCGAGCGTAAGGCCAAACAGGTGGCCATCGAAAGAAGGGCAGGAATAGGATTCGCGCTGCGGGAGAAGGCTAAGGTTGCGGAACGAAGAGGAAAGGAAGCGAGGGGGGAAGAATTGAGCTCCGGTAAGGTCGCGGACGGGTGGGTGGATTACTTCGTGCCGATATATCGAGACACCGGATAGAGGAGAGGACCAGCGAGGGGGAGGGAACAGAAAGAGGGGCGGGCGGGAGGGAGAGGGAGAAGAGGTACGTATCCGTGTTTCCACACTGGTGGTACATCTGATGCAAGATACGACGCGTCACGACCCGCGCTCACCGCGCCATATACCCGATGCACCGTGTAAACTGTCCCGCACAGTACCGAGCGGTACGGCACGGTACGTTATAGGCTCGAGGATGCTGGATAGTTTACACGCTGGTGCCTTACCGGTTGGTCGTATTGTTCGCCCCGGCGTGGCCCGCATATGCGGCCTGTTGCATATCAATGCGCGAGGCATCGAGTATGTACCCATGCAGCACACAATATAGGTATCGGGAAGAAAATTCTATAAATTTCCATCAAGCGCGTCGAGCGTAAGAGCTTTTGTCCGTGAATTTAGCAAAAGGTAGGTTAGCGGGGAAAGAGGCTCTCTCTCTGATCGAGCCAAACAGGTGGTCATCGAAAGAAGGGGAGGAATAGGATTCGCGCTGCGGGAGAAGGCTAAGGTTGCGGAACGAAGAGGAAAGGAAGCGAGGGGGGAAGAATTGAGCTCCGGTAAGGTCGCGGACGGGTGGGTGGATTACTTCGTGCCGATATATCGAGACACCGGATAGAGGAGAGGACCAGCGAGGGGGAGGGAACAGAAAGAGGGGCGGGCGGGAGGGAGAGGGAGAAGAGGTACGTATCCGTGTTTCCACACTGGTGGTACATCTGATGCAAGATACGACGCGTCACGACCCGCGCTCACCGCGCCATATACCCGATGCACCGTGTAAACTGTCCCGCACAGTACCGAGCGGTACGGCACGGTACGTTATAGGCTCGAGGATGCTGGATAGTTTACACGCTGGTGCCTTACCGGTTGGTCGTATTGTTCGCCCCGGCGTGGCCCGCATATGCGGCCTGTTGCATATCAATGCGCGAGGCATCGAGTATGTACCTTCTTCGCTGAGCTACGACGTGAATCTCTTTCTTTCTCTCTCTCTTTCTCTCTCTCTCTCTCTCTCTCTTCCTTCGTCTTTCTCTCTACCTTCTCTTTTCTCTCCCTCTTTCTCCTCTTCTTCTTTCTCCTCGATCGCGCTTGTTCCGTCTCTCTTTCTCCCGCGAAGGCATACTGACTACGAAACGAGAGAAAGGAGAAGAATCTCTGGACGTAAGCTGCGCTATCTGGGGTTAAAAAGTATCCTGACCCCGTACGACGCATGGCCTCGATTCATGGTAGATTCTCGTCGTCGTCTTCGTCGTTGTCATTTTCGTCGTCTCCCTCGTTGGGACGTTCAAGCGCAATCTACCGCATCAGGAAACGCGTTTCTCAGATTCTTCATGCTGGTACTACAGCAATGACACGCGCAGATAAATCGTAATTACATGATTGTTGTGATGGATAAGTTCTATAAGAAATGTAACCCAAACGCAACTTAATTAATTATCTCTTCATTTTTTCGTTAATGTTATATAGTTCCAGGAAGCTAAATTCAAATGTGTTGTCTGCATAATTTTTAGCAGGATAATCTTACACCGTCATTCCGCGCAGTGTCGGTTAAAAATCTGTACCCTTTAAAAGACTGGCAAATAAAATATAAAATATGATAAAACGCAACGGGAAGCGCCTTGTATACATGACACGAAACAACGGGCGCCGTCTCGCGCGTTGCGCATTCAAAGTTGTCCTTCCGGCATCGGCGCAATCGACCGGTCGGTTTCAGAACCCGACTTCCAATCGGCCACGCGTCCGGCCGGGAACCAGTTCGCGCAGAAGAACGCGGCCTGACACTCAGGCCCGCAATATTTGACACACGGCAGCCAATCAGATTATCAGATTAAAGTTGAACGGGGCCGGCGATCGTCGGCACAGGTGAGGTTCGTTTCGGCTGTGTGACAGAGAGAGGAGGAGAAATCTCGCGGGCGCGCATTGACGTGCACCGGCGATCCGTTTTGCGACACCTGTTTCAATATAAAACCAGATCGGGTCTCGACGAAATGGGACGAATGGCACTCAGCTTCGCGTTTCGATTAAATCAATTATATTGATCGATCGATTTCTAACGAGGCAGCGACAAAGCGACGATGAGATTTTTACTGTATTATAAAATATAATTTTTATTTTCGTATAATTTTGTAATATTAATAGAAACACACATATCGTCATACTCATCGTACTGACAGCTTGTGATATCAGAGTATCAAATTTTCAAGAATATCTGTTCGTTTTTGCTTCGAATATCGTGCAAATCCGCAGCCAAAATCCCGATTCGCAAATGAACCGTGGATGTGCCATTAAACAAATTAACTTTAAGATAGTCAATGCGTTTTATTTAGCATGATTGCCGCGAGATACTAAATTATCAAATCGAGTCGACCATTGAACATCGAGACACAAAGCCGGCCACTATTTTATAACCATCTATTTCGATAAAGCAAATAACGTTCGAACCCTCCTCGAATGGCGAAAGAGATAATTGAGGAACGACAGCCGACGAAAGAACGATCGTTTTGATTTGAAAACTATTAAAACCGACGTAGACGAAATCCCTATCGGGCAGCAGTCTCGTTCGGTTCGCGAATAGTTATGCTTCCATAAAACCTGGCGATAAAGTGGAATCATTTTGAGTTTACGGTCGAGTTTATGGCAGAGAATCATCGACTAGAAAAGACCAGTTTTATCTTATCCATGGGATGAGCGGTCGCTCCCAGCAACTTGAATTTATTGTCGAAGGAAGGAAATGTATAGAAATTGCGATAAAACGCGGATTCGAAAATTAGAGAGATGGAGACAAAATTGGTCGCAGGCAAGAAATCGGTTATAATCGGAATCGAATTATCAGCGCTCATCTTTGTTTTACTTAGATTGTCGGAATTTTGTAGCGTGCATAAAAAGCGTGAAAGCCGGGATGATTGATACATAAAAAGTACAGCAGGTATAATGCCACTGAGGCGGATGGTGTGAGAAATCTACTGCAAACGCGCGACGAAGTCAGTCAATCGGTCGGATAGTACTACATACCGGTAGTTTGCCCTCTTCTTGGTCGCGAGAGTCCGTGAACATGAAACAAGATAGCTGTTGTTGAACAGCAGTTTCGCAGCACGCGGAAGAAGCGATAACGACAGTAACAAGCATCTTCGTTAGAGAGCTGTACAATCCGGTGACTGCTCATCAGAAAGTCACACCGTTCTTTCTCTCTCGCAAAATTTCTTATTCTATTCGATTATACATCTCGATAATTTAGGGCAAAAGTCTTGAAAAATAATAAAAAGCGCGTAAAATAAATACAGTTTCCATAGTCGAGTCTAAGTTAAATATCTGAAATCCTCTGGAAACACAATATTATTTTTTACTACTACTCCGCTCATGTTTATCAGAGAGTTTTTCCATATTTTCGGCGATTCGTTACTTTTTAATTCAAAGGTGATAATTAAGCAACGCAGTGAATTTCGATTTCATCGAACACTGTTGTATCGAATATTTCGCGTACTTTTCGGGGCCTGGCATTCTTGTCGAAAGAATGCGCGCTTCTCGAGTGCCGGTCGGGAAGACACGAGCCGAACGAAGAGATTGGAACGTGCAAGACGAAGAAGAAGGATACGAATGCGAAAGAAGGAGTCGGAGAAGGAGGAGGAAGAGGTGGAGGTGGACCGTCGTCGTCGCCGAGGTCGCATAAATCGTCGTGAGTCGGATTCCGGGCAGCCGAACGCAAGCCGCCATTGTCCGAGACTTTTTGCCCCTCTCTCCCTATCGAGGGGGCTGCCGCTACGGAGCTGCACTCTTTGCATATGCTTTAAATATCGCCGCTCAGCGCGCTCGCTTTGAGAGCTCCCACGTCCCTTCCTCTTCTGTCTTCTCTGCGCGAAGAAAAGACAGCGAGCGCGACGAGGGGCACAGGAGGGTGAGAGTAGATGGAATGAAAGATGAAGAACATCGGGAGAAAGAGAGAGAAAGAGAAACCCAAAATTTGCTGACCGTTGACTCCTCTCCTTGCAATTGGCGGATCGCATTAGATGCATCTCACCCCGCGATTCGTATCCCACATTCTTTCGAAAGTGTCAGCGTGTATCGGAGAAACGTAAAATAAGTAATTTTGATTTTACGACAGGATATATGCATTTAAGTCATTTAGCTTTATAACATTGCACACCATTTGCAAATTTAAC